TGCAGCAAGATAAAACAAGGAGAAGAGAAAAGAAGGAGGAGGAGGAGGAGAAAGGGATAATAATAATAACAATAATAACAATAAGGAATATCAATATGAGAATAATATAATAATTAATAATAATAACAATAATAATAATAATAACAATAATAATAATAATGAAATAATATAAAATAATATTAATTTAATAATAATAACAACAACAACAACAAACGAAAGAGAGAAAAAAGGACAACAAAGGAACAATAAAGAAAGAAAATAACCAAGAAACCAACGATGCCTTACCCCCCCCCCCCGCCCCGTCGCCCCCGCCCCGCACTTACACATAATAAATCTCATTCATGCTTTAGTTTCTCGCTCATTTCACTTGGCCTTTTTTAAACATTTTTTTAGTCGACTTTTAAGCTGCTTTATTTCTAATACGCTTTTAATACAAAAGCGATAATCTTTTTTATCCTTTTTTTCAGCGACGGACTTAATAGTCGTTTTTTTTTATCCGGCAAATCGGCAGACTGGTTTACTTTTCTGATAATCTGGCGGAGGGGATTACCGGACGCAACCCGCAGTGACGCCGATTATGACGGGTTTATGCCAATACCTCATGGTTACCCAAGGGGCGCGAGGGAGAGGCAGTGGCTGGGGAACGGAAAATAAGTGAACATCAACCTCAACCAAAATGAAATAGTCGGTAAAGTAGGAAAAGATAATGAAGTAACCCAAAACCTAACGGATGACTATAGATTATACCTAATCGAGTAAGAGGACATAAAAAAAACGTTTCTCATAATGTGCAAAATGATAACACATAAAACCCAACGTATGAATAAGTGAAAGTATAGAAATGAATAATATCATAGAAATAACACCAATAAAAGAGTAAAGAATAATATATATATATATATATATATATATATATATATATATATATATATATATATACATATATATACTATATATATATATATATATATATATATATATATATATATATATATATACATATACATCATTACTATTTTGAAAAAAGAGAAAATCAGCCGAAACAAACGAAAAGAGAAAGACACTGAGAATGTTAGAAACAAATAAAAGTAGAGGAGAGGAAAGTTAGACCATATAGATAGGTAGACAGATAGATGGATAAAACAGTATAGAACGAGTGAGAAAGACAAACGGACGAAGCCAGGACTAACAGAGAAAGAAGAGTGAGAAAGAAAGAACGAAAAAAAAATATACGCATAATAAATAACACAAAGGACCTTTTTTCTTCTGCTTGTTGGATCGGTATTCTAATACCCCCCCCCCCCTCCCCCTCCCCCCGAAAGGACAGAGGAAGAGGGACACGCGGTAAAGAGGTGGATGGGAACCGAGCAAAAAGGTAAATGGGGGGAGGGTCAATATGGAAGAGGGAAGAAGGAAGCAGGAGAATAAAAAGAGGAAAATGAAGCAAATATGAGAAAATAGAAGGGAAAGGTGCAGGAGAACGGAAGAGGGTTGAGGGTGGAAGAAAGAGAGAAGGGAGGAGGAGAGAGATGAAGAAGAATTGAGGCAAGGAGATTAGAGAATAAAAAAAAAAGAGAGAAGGGAGAATAGAGAATGAATAAGGGATAGGGGGGGTTGGGGGGGGGCTGCCTCGTTAAGAACAAGAGGCGATATTTGATTCTCGGCGCAAGTGGTCAGCCTCCTTTCAATCGGCTTTCTCGGTGTCCTCGGCTGACCGGCGCTCTCCAAAGGGGGACAAACCCTTTCTCGTTTTTTTCTCTCTCTTTCCTTTCTTCTCATTCTTATTCTTGTTCTCATTCTTCTTATTATTAGCATTATTTCTCTTCTTCTTCTTCAATGTCCTTTAACTTTCTTTCTTTCCTTCTTTGCTCCTTTTCCCTTTCCTATTATTCGTCTTCGGCGTCGTCCTTTTCCCCCTTTTCTTTACATCTTTGCCTCGTTTTCTGTTCCATCGTTGTTCGGTCCTCTTCTTCCTCTTCCTCTTCTCCTTTTTCGCAGACGACTATAATTTTTCTTTTATATAGCTCTTATTCACTTCCTTCCTTCACCATTTACTATCGAAAAAGGTACCCCTTTCATCCCTCGAAAAATTACAAAAACAGATAATCAACAATGGCTAGATAATACGAGGAGAGACGAGGCGCCCTTCGCCCCGCCCTCGCTCAAGGGCCGCGGTCAAGACGCTGTTGCTTCCCGCCCGAGACAGGAGAGGAG